ACAAGGCTCTGCTCATTCAGTAAGTTAAAATTCTCAATACTGGACCGATAATCATTCGACAACCCCGAAATCACCCCCCCACTTAATTTCATTATCAATCTGTTTTTTTTAATTTTTGGACGACGTACTTTCATACAGCCTTCTTTTCGCAAAATGTAAACCAAAATAGTGTAAAAAAACTTTATAAGAACAATTCGGGATGCTTTTTATAAAACTTCTGGATGCCTCCGACGTCGGTTTTTGTTGACTCGAACTAGCTAACGTTTCGCCAATCATCCTGTCGGCTTCTTCAGAGCTTGACTGAAACGTTAGCAAGTACGAGTAAACAAAAACCGACGCCGGAGGAATCCAGAAGTTTTAGAAAAAGTATTAACTATTCGAAATGTTTAGCGAACATTCGACTTGGCGATGTGATTTCGAAATACTTTAAGTTCTATGCCAACTGATCTGCGATCAGAACTTTGTTTATTTGGTTCTGACAGGCGGTTTTCATTATTTCGCTAAGTTAGTACGGTTAATCCTCAGTTGGTGCAGCCCAAACTATTGTGATGAACCAGTAATGCATTTTGTACAATGAACGTTTTCATTATCATAGACCAATTAAATAGATCTTGGACCTTCACAGAACAAGAGAGTCTTGTTACCACGTGCATTGCAAAAAAACCGAATTAGTCGAACACCTAGGGTTTCCCGAAATCGTGTCTTGTGTCCGCGTAGTATATCTACTACAATGAAAATTAGTACAAGTATGAAAATTAAATAATAGCAATTGCATATAAGCTGAGTTTTTTTTCTGGTGTCCTTTAAAGAGATATAATACAATAAAGACTTTCTCGTTGCTACGTTTGAAGCTCTACACTACAAGACTATATACGACAAAATATGTTTCTACACATTGTTTCAATGACAGAAAAGGGGTTTTTATCAAATTTTCAATGCCTCATTTTCGTGTCGTTGTTGTATCTTTTTTGCTCTTACAAAATGGAACGTGTTTTATCGCCTGAGAAGTTCTAAATGCTACAATGTTAAATCTTGTGCTATAGTAACGCCGTTGAAGCTAAATAGCTATCCAGAAAGAAGGCAACTAAGTAGAAAAATAATTGAAAGATCTAAGTTGTATGGTGTATTTATCAAAATCAGTATTATCCAAAAATAAACTATGCAATGAAGAAGTCAAAGCGGAATTTCAAATTAATATCGATTAAGCCCTCAGAGTTGCAGTCTTTATCAAGAGTTTTTCTTCTGATTGTCGAAATAACTGTGGGTGGTGAGAAACACTCCATATATCATCAACATCGCCAAGGGTATTTTCGTCTATATCGGGTTCAGAAAAACCGGTGGTATTATCTATTATTTATGGTTTTTTATTATAATTATTATTAATAATTTTTTTTAACAATATTAATAATCAAAACATACTGAATAGAACAAACAAGCTTAAATAATTAAGTTGTAAATTTGTCGTCAGTTATGTTTATTTTTTTTAAACTCATTTTTTTTTTAAATAAATACATTTTCATCCTCCGAAACGAGCCTGCATTCTCGTGAAAAATATTGCAATAATAATAATTAAAACTAATTTTTTGATTACATAATTTCATAATTCACTGGGCCCATTTTAAATCACAGAAAATATTATTACTACAATTACCAAACAAAAGCACATTGTTAATTTTTCAAAGAAACTTCCACAGGCTACTGTAAAACTTTTTACAAAACTTCTGAATTCCTCCTGAGTTGGTTTTTGCCGAGTCGAACTTGCTGACTTTTCGCCAATCTTCCTGTTCGCTTCTTCAGAGCTTGACTGAAACTTGAAGAAGCCAACTGGATGATTGGCGAAACGTCAGCAAATTCAACTCAGCCAAAACCGACGCAGGAGGCATCCAGAAGTTTCGCAAAAAAAATTTTTTTTCTAATATACTCCAAAAATGAAAAATACCACAAAATCTTTGTTGGTCTGTATTATCAGTGAGAAAAATACATGTTTTTTTTGCAATACTTACTCTAACAATTGTATGAGTTGTACGACTCGTGTTGCAAGCCCCAGGTATCTTTTACTAGACCATGAAAGTGCCGATTGATTTAAGGAAAAAAAAAAACGGGAAACGAATCTCAATAAATTGCCAATTCCCGCATAAATTAGAGACCGGCGATGGACGGCGGACTTGAACAATTAAAATTTCGAGGTAATAGCTCATTAATCGGCAATTAACCGTTGATGGGGGGCATTGTACGGCTGGTTTGCGTTCGTGACACGCAATTTACGTACCGGTCGGTAAGTGAATGTGGAACAAATTGATTCTGTCTAATTTACGGAACGGAAGACGAATTAACGCTGAAGGGACGGTCACATAACTTCGAATTTAGAACAGAATAGAATGGAACTTTATTAACCATTCAGATAAGTTAAGATATATATATTATTACTCTGGAAAACCAAGGAGTATACAGTGTAGCTTGCGGATCGGGCAGCCTGACGTATGTGGGACAGACCAACAGAAGGATTTCAGCCAGGCTCGAGGAACATCTTTTAGCCATAAGAAACAAACAAACAACATCTGCTTTGCTTCAGCACCAACATCAGACAGGCCATAAAATTGATTTTAGGACTTGGATTATACGAGAGGCCATCGAGATAGAAAAGTCCGGACACTTGAATACGAGAGACGACGCTCTGCATTTATCCAATACGTGGAGAACGATAATCGAACAGCAGAGTGATACGCAGCAGCCAACGGGGACATCGCGACTACGATCGGGCGAAATTAACAGCGCGACAATTCGGGGGGCGGAGCCACCTCCCCTCCCGCAAAAGCAGCACCGTTACCATCTGCGGCGCAGTGTTCGAAGTGCTTTCGGAGCGCGAGCATTGAAGATGCCAAGTGAGATTTTGGCGAAACGTCTGCAGGATTCCAGTCGGATGATATCCCGGAATATAGTGTCATATATATATATATATATATATATATATATATATATATATATATATATATATATATATATATATATATATATATATATAACATATATATATATATATATATATATATATATATATATATATATATATATATATATATATATATATATATATATATATATATATATATATATATATATATATATATATATATATATATATATATATATATATATATATATATAACATATATATATATATATATATATATATATATATATATATATAACATGAGGTGGCGTGCTATGCTATAGTCAATATTACATAAGACTAAATCAAGAAGCCTGTCTGCTGCTATTAAATATACAATTGCATTGTTTTATATTTAAAAAATCTAACACACAATTGATAGCAAAAGTTTTACGGGCGTTGTTGTTTTGGTGGGCAGCTGAAGTCACCAAAACTACTTCATTCTGGTTGTGAAGAATTTCGGAATGCTGAAGTGCTTCCAAAAATGCAACATAATAATCTGCGGCTACGGAAGGTGATATATACAAGATTGAATTATGTTCCAGAGTGGATTTACAAATTAATAGATCAATATTTGGAAAATTCTGTTCATTAATAAGTTTTATAGCCTTTTCCAAGTCGTCTGTAATCCAGTTAGCTTTTTTAGCCGTCCTACGGTGAACTTTCGGCATCTACAAATAAAAAATAATACTGTTTTACTAAGATAAGGAAGTGCGGGCAATGGGGATCACTATGTAAATAATCGGGATCACCCGACGAAAAAGAGAAATCCTGACAAGACTTTATAGGTGATTATAATAATTTGACTGTTGAATTGTACCCTTAAATGCTACGACTATTACACATTATATTGACAGAAAGAAATATTTGTTATTTTTGGACTTACCTTCTTATTTATCCACTCTGAAAATTAGATGAAAATGGTAACGTTCGCGTCGGTTGATCGCGTTCAGTTTCTTTTATTTTGAGGTGATCACAAGAATCATAAATTGCCTTCGAAGAACCCCACCCCTCCTCGTGCGGGCCCATGTCACCGTCGGCGACGAAAAAGAGCGGACGATTCATAATCATTAATGGCGAAAACGAATTCCGGAAAACAGGTGTCGGATGGCGAATTCTGGGATGGGGAAACACTTTTTTTGGGGCAGGGGAGTGGGGGTATCGAGCGAAGACGCCCCCCGCGTTTTGCGACCCAGCAGGAAGGTCGTTATCGCCCCGTAATCGATATATCGCATCACCCTATATACTGTTATCGTGTGAGAGCTAATCCCCGCGTGTTATGTGTTCCGCGCGGTCATAAATTTACCCCCGCGCCCCGTCGCCAGCCACCCCAAACCCACGCCGCCAAGGAAGAGAGCCGGCGCGGCCGTTAATGGAAATTTATCGCCTTTTTTTGATCGATCGGAGTTTCGGATTTGTAAACTGTCTTTAATAGACATCTGTTAAATGCAATGTTAAAAAGATTCCAGTCGGGGTTCAACAAACGAACGGATAATATCGCGGAATATATTGTCATCACATTTTTCCATCCATGAATCAATACGTGAAAAAAAAAATGCACATATAAGCAGCTTTACCCCGTGACTGAACCTATTGAAAATAAAGACCATTTTTCAGAGACCGAACAAATTCGCAGACGCAGAAGAAACGACTCCATAAACTTTTATTCTCGACAATTTTTCAAAAATATACAGGGTGCATCGCAAATTCAAAAAAACTGAAAAATGGGTCGCCCTATTTTTGAGAATTGGCAATAATTTGAAATCTGTGTTTTAGATGTCAGTTTCTTTTACATGACCATATAGCCCATATAGACAGCTTAAACTTTTGTATTTACGGTTTTTAAGTATTGCACAGGGTGTTCGCGATATTTCGTGCAATATCAAAAAACACAATAAGTACTCCAAATTTGCAGCTACCGACTTCAGACTTGGGAGAGAAGTAGAAGTCTGAACCCGCATTTAGACACATTTTTTTTTAATTAATCGAAATAAAAAAATAAATCAAAATTCGTACAAACAAAGACAAAAATGATTATTTTGGAACTTACCTATAATATAAGTAGAGTACAGATTCAAGTCCTACTTAACTTCAAAGCAATAAATGCACTATATTTTTGGTCGCATTATACAAGTAAATATATAAATATTATAAAATAGATTTGAAGTGGTAACTTTTCGCGTTAATTTCCAAATAACAAATTTTGAAAATTACAAAACATTCTCGTCTTTACTTATAACCGTCTCCACGTTATCAGTTATCCCAAAAAGGCCCTCAAAACATATTTGATTGTGTACGCTTTCCCGGAATCAGCATGCGACGCAAAATTCGAAGCAAACAACTACTTATTTTCCGCAGCGATAAATTGAGATTCGAGTCGCGTGGGTTCTTTGACGTAATTAATTTCCCGATGTAATAATTTTCCCACAATGACGATCGGAAAATTGGTGTTTACGATTTAGTCCGTTGCGAATTACAGTGTTGTCAATATCCGGTTGCAATGAAAATGGCCTCCGCTACATGAATTTCAATAGAAAACAAGAGACATCAAAAAAAGTCAAAATTGAAACAATAGAGAAAAGTGAAGATCAAAGGTATACACTGATTTAGAATCTATTCTTTTAAAAGTGTGAATTTTTGTGTGAAATTTCATAAAAAGTTTGTTAACTTATGAAATGTAAATTTCAGTTTGCGCTTAGAAAGCCAAACCAAATAAATTTGATTTCGTTTATTTTTCATTCCTACAAAATAAATAGTAAATGTCTATTTCTCTCAAAAAATTTAAATAATACTAATTGCTTATACATAAAAATGTTAATGATACTGCAATGGATTGGTATCGACCAGGTAACTTCGTAATTTAATCCCGGTTCTAAATCTTAAATCAGAAGTAAACAAAATAAAACTAGTCATGTCTTATGAGTGGTCGAGCTTTCAACTCATCTCGTACAGCTGTTGCAGCCGAGTATATCTACGATCAAATTAATATAATCATCAATTTTGATGTTATAATTAACTCATCTTTCGAAAACTTGTGTTGTTTGAGATCTTGCTAGATTTGCATAATGGTTAGTTTTGGTTGGTTGGGTTGGGTTGGTTATTAGTGTAACCATGTTTTAATCACTGGTTAACTAAGATTTGGTGATTCATTTCTCTTTTGATATTCCATGGTCTGATATGTACCAATATTTAATATAACCTTTAACCGTGATTAAAGTAGCAGTGTTAATAGGCTGTGTTGTCTAGAAAGTTTACAGTATTGCCTTCCGATAACAGAAATTTTCCTATTTTTGGTTAGTTAGACTTCTAAATAAAATTTTTCTAATTATCTAAGCTTAGTAATGAATGACCCTGGGGGTTCTGGGGACTCTTGGATTTTTCGTTGGTAGAAGAACTGATTACATGCAAGAATTTTAGTTTTATGGAATAAAATTTGGTACCCGGTTTCATGAGTGTGTTCGACAAGGCTCTTTCTTGTTCCTTGAGCCTAGTTGATATTTTTCATCCGGTCTCCGCATATGCATGGAATGCTATAAACTCCTGGCATCTCAAATAGAATTTTGTCTTTGACGGGCCGAAGATGTTGAGAGATTTTTGGACAAGTGGTAAATCTGGTTTTGACGTTATACTTCTTTAGAACTTTTGATATGTGGTCAGTGATGTTTTGAATGTAAGGAAGGACCACAGTGGCAAATGTAGGATTGCTTTCGGCCTCATTGCTGTTGGAAGGTTGTGGTGAAGTGTATTTTTTGATGGAACACTTAATATCTTTAATGTGGAAATTATTAGAGAGAAGAGAGGAAGTAAGGAGTTTTAATTCTGTTTTCAGTGACTCGGGCTGAGATAGTTTTACGACTCTGTAAACAAGAGAGTTGATAACCGATGATTTTTGAGCCGGGTGGTGACCATGCATTAAGGTATCGGTCTGTGTGCATAGGTTTTCTGTAAACATAATGACCCAATGCTATATTTGATTTTCTATTGATAATAATATCTAAGAATGGAAGGTTATTATTAGTTTCTTCTCAAAGGCTTCCACAAATATATTCCCGATGACTGGTGATAGTGGAGAACCCATAGCTGTTCCCGAAGTTTGTTCAAAAATTTGACCTTTATAAGAAAAATATGTTACCGATAAGCATTTTTCAATTAAGGTAACACATTTTTTTCACGGAGTCTGATAGAGAAGAAGCCTTAATAACTGTTTTAAGGTTGCGATCCATAGATGACGTAGGATCTTTTTTAAGCTGACTACATCATCCGTCTTTAATAATATTTCGAAACAAAAACCAACGCAGGAGGAATCCAGAAGTTTTGTAAAAAGTATTACAGAAGCCTGTGGAAATTTCTTTGAAAAATGACCAATACAAATTTTGTGAGGATTTGCAAGATTTTGTGGTGATGGATCGGGATTTGCCCACAACAGTGAGGAAGAGTACCAAGAAGAAGATGGAGAAGTTGATCTGGAATGACCACCAACAAACCCTATATTCAGTTAAGAAATGTCAAAAACACAAGCCAATGTATGAGATATCAAAAAAATTCTAAAGAAAATGACCTCCTGTTTTCAACATTAAATGGAGTTCTTAAATATTTGTATAAAATTTTCCCAAGTGGATGTTAAAATATGTATAAATCATAATTAAATATTACTTATTGCAAAACGCTAATACCCTGTATACGCAAGCGGTGTGCATGTTCAACTGCTTATCGATTCGTATACGCGATAGCTATCACTATTTTATCTAGAGTTAAAAGCATGTCCCGGAGCATATTAAAGCGCGAGTTCGAGCCAGAGCATTAACTGGCAACGCGACAAATTAGATTACTCGGGAATCAGTTCTGTGAAGGTTGCAAAACCTGGGCGTGTTACGTCGGCAATTAATATTACACGAACCAGCAGCTGCCAGCTACTAGCTACGACTAAATTTCGCGGTCTTGCGTTACGGTACGTCAGGTCTGTGACGCACGACGCGCTGGTGATGACGCCGCGACGTCTCTCCTACACCGTGTGACCACATAGCTATAAGATAATATAAAGGCCCTCCTACGGTAAAAAGTGATGCTAAATCAGTCTCTAATACAACAGTCTCTGCCATTGTTGTTTACATTTTTGGTGGTTATGATTCTCTCCGTACCTTTTTCGGTGTTCTGGTGTGTTTGTGATGGAAACTGCAAAGAAAAGGATGTGCCTGTATTCAGGTAAGTGTTGCCTTATGTACAAGTTTTGAAAGTAGTTTCTTAAGGACTCCCACTCACAGACTTGTATAATTTGTGCTTTCAATAATTGCTCCTTCACTAAATTACAGTTGTGTCAAATATGAGAACCTAATAGGTTCTTAGTCAAACCCGAATGATTTAACAAACTGCAAGGTAAAGTCTGTTCATAGATATAAGAAAGTGACTGTTATTTAGTTTCATCTATGTTCTTCTTCTATTACCTAAAAAGGTAAATTCTTTAATTTTGCTTAGAGATATCTCAAGAATCGAGAAAACGGTATCACAGTTTTTTTTTTATATGATTGCTCATTGTCACATAAACCTGCCTCTATGCCTCGCTATTTTGTAGACATATAATAAGGTAAAGTCTGTTCATAGATATAAGAAAGCGACTAACTAATACGAATTAAGGAAAGACAAGGGCAAGCTGTAAGAGTTAAATATGGCCGAACACGTTTATTTATGTATGTATTTATGTTTAAATCTGTTTCTGGCTCCACGTTCAATGAGAGTCAAATAAACATTGATTATAACTTCCTTAGTCTCAATAGAACAGTGTTTTCTACATTTGGGCGGGAGGATCTCCTGAAAAGTAGTATACCAAACCAGAGAATATTAAACTCAGGTAGGTATAAAATTATTTTCTATTGAGGACCACAATTTTAACTGAATTTAAATTCCGAAACTGTAGGTAATAATCTTGTTGCATTGTATGTTAATGACCACCCTTGGATGATCCCATTCAAAAGCAATTGGTCACTTCCTTATATCTATGAACAGACCATACCAACGTCAATAACCTGCCGGTATATTGACCGTACTAAAAGATAAACCATCTTTGTATTTTTACCATTTTATCCTAGAGCCTAAAATTTCATCGACGACGGCTCAAATCCTTCAGCGGGAATTAACTAGGAAATTCGATATTTTGCTTTCCCATGGGTGGAACTTTCGGTGGGACTTTTAAAGCTTTTTCCACACGAGTGGTTATCGAGGGCGGTTTTCTCTTCGCAGTATTGGCGGCGTAATTTTATCTCTCTCGCGTTTTATACGTTTTACACAATTCGTCGGACATGAACATCTGGGTTTTGGTTGAAACCGTCTCTCTCTAGTGGTCGCCATAAGATACGGGGGAAATTATGGCTCCGAATTATAGGAAGTACTAAAATGTACCACTTGTGACCTTTCCATATATTAAATGCTCTGCTCATATTGACCACATCTAGATCTGTATCTGGGAATTAAATGAACCACCTCGATCCATACTCGTGCTTCACTGTACAGTTAGCGAACATGGCATGAATGGTTGAATATAATACTATTTTTGGTACTCTGGTGGTATTTTTTTGATGTCAGCCAGAAAAAAGATATTTGAAAGAAAAGGCGTGGAATAATTTGTAGTAATTAAAAATTATTCTAAAATAGGAATGTGATTTTTCAACTTATGTAATTTTTATATTGTTATAATGTAAACTCCTTCTAAACCTGGCTATCGTCATTTTAAGTAGTTTTAAACTCAACCTAACTACTTTTTTCTTGTACACCGTTCAATTTTCATTTCTATTATTGGGCTCTACTCAAACTCATTAATGTCTAGGACACAATCTGCCAGTTCTTGCCTAAAAGTCCAAAACAAAATAAATGGTTGTCAGTGGTTTATGGTTTGCCAGCTCAGTTGTTGTCGGTTTTCCATAAGCTTTAGTTTAGTAACGTGTCGTGTGCTATACGTTTTCACAAAACAGCAAGACGTTCGCTGAGTGACGCATCAAGTAACTGTCATAAGTTGACATTTAAAACTCGTCAATTGAAATGTCAATAAATCAAGAAACACAATTTTTTCTTCTTGAGCAGTCATAAGATCAGGAAAACTAGAAATCAAAAAAATATGTATCTGTACCGTAGAATTTTCATATATAAAAAAATATTCCAAATACTCTTGCATCATCAAATGGAATGACAGAAAACTAATAACATAAAAACGTTTGACTTAAGTGAACGTTATACATCACAAAATATTTCGTAATTGGTGGCCAAGTTTGGACCGGTTGTAAAATGATCAAGTTTTGAATGATTTAATCTATAACTGCTGTCAATAATACGTC